AAGTCGAGTCATTTTTGGAACTTAACCCACATCCATAAAGGTGGGTTGCGGATTCACCGCATAATTTCCCGCCACCCACCCGAACTGCTAGTATCAACGCAAGATCTCCTGAAGACATGCTCCACGTATCAACAGCTAACGGACTTTATAATTCTTGAGCTTAGTCTTACCGGGTGAGGCGTTTACTCGACAAAGTACAACTAGGCGACCGCACCCCGACACGACTTTTACGATATGCAAGTGGTAAACGATAATCCAACAGAGCATTCGATTTTTCAAACGACTGTTCCTGTAACGGTTCCCTCCTCATGTACAACAAATTTTAGTTAATGCTCATGGCCGACAGAATAATAGACATGCAAACACCGACGATCTAAACGATAATAGTTCCTCGCGCGTCAGACGACTAACTTGTGCAAGCCATAAGATCATTGTTAAATCAAGTTGCTCACTCTCCATCGGTGAGCGCAGCGCTAATTGTCATAGACGCCGACGTGCCGGAGTGCTATTCGTTTGTCCACATTTTGTTGGTATCACCGCAGATGTGGTAGAAAGTCTCATAAATTCGTAAAACCTGATCGTTTTTCCCAATCGGGAAACGGACACGCGGCTCATAATGTCGACGGTGGGAGCCGGATTTGTGAACAAGGTCGCTTATTCTTTTTGCGTGACTTTCGGTCTGGCATGCGCTACTTGGTAGACACAGGTGCACAAGTAAGTGTGGCTCATCCACTGTCAGATAATTGAAGCGTTGCTCGGTATACAACATTCAATTTGTCAATGGCACTCTGACCCGTACCTAGGAAGTGAGGTCCATTACGTTAGATATCGGTTTTCCTAGACCATTTCTTTGAGTCTTCCTCGTAACTAAAGTGCCAACCACCATTTTAAGTCTCAACTTCCTACAACATCATGGAATTATCGTGGACCCCAGACATTGTTAAATTATTGACGGTTCAAACAATCTATCAAAAGCCAGCTCTTCCATCAAGCTGAGTAGTCCACAGTTTTTTCTGCCTAGAGTCGCTTCCGTTTATTTAGATCTACTGAACGAATTTAGTTGCATAACAAAGCCTAAATACCAACCCGGTGATATAAAACGTGAGATCATTCATCAAATTAGCACGAGAGGCAGCACAGTTTTCAGTCGCCCAAGGCTCTTAGCGCCTGATAGCTTTTCCTTAACAAAGACAGAATTTGAGCATTTGCTGCAATTAGGCATAATAAGTCCACCTACCAGCATTTGCGCTCCGCCTCTGCATATGGTCCTGACTAAATATTTGGCGATTGGCTAAAGTGTGGTGATTATCGGGGGCTGAATGCCATCACCGTCTCTGATAGATATTCTATCCCACATCTCCAGGAGTTCTCTCTCCGCTCCACGGTAAAAAAAAGTGTTCAGCAAGATAAACTTGATGCCAGCCCATAGCCTAAAGGTAAGAAGCTTGTCTTATAATCTGACGGCGCGGATTAGGGTCCGCGTATAGGCAGCGTGACCCTAGCAGTATCATTAGCCGACATGCGACTGATTGTGGTTGCGGGGCAGCGAAGCGTCGGTACTGCGTACCGGCCTACTGCTGATGCCTTTTCCTCTCTTTCTTTCTGAGCCCACTATTAAATTCCCGTACACACTCAAAGTGTTCCTGAGACTGCCGTTACCACACCCTTTGGCTTATTTGATTTATTACGTATGCCTTTTGGTTTTCGCAATGCTGCTCAAACCTTTCAGCATTTTATGGATCGGATCATGTCGGGGTCACCAATGTATGGACAGGAAGCGGTGATTAATGGTGATGGAGATTATCTTTGTTGTTGGGGGAAAACAAAAGTGTGTTCGGTATTCCCAACAGTGTAGTTTAGACGCTCCCATAAAAAATAAAATAATCTGCTCTCGAAACACCAGGGTGAAGAGGAAGACGCAATCAGTGGAAGACGCAATCAGTAAGACTTGATGGAGTGTGACAAAAAAATATGGATGTCACCATTTCACGTGTGATGCAATGATTCCTAACTGGTTGGTCCCGGTTCTGACTTGAGGTTGATGATCCTTTTTGTCAATTGGGCGTTGAATCAGTGACTGGCAATATATTTGGATAATGAATGTACGGGGATGTGTTGTGTGCTAACTAGGAGGTCCATGTAGATGTATGACCTACTGTGAATATGTACCTACTGATAAAATATCCCGGGAGTATACATCAGAACAAAAGTTAGCGAATAAGTCCGTATTCTAATGGTTCCTCATCAGGCCAATACACCCCAAAAGAATGACATGAACGGAAACATCAGATGTACTTAACTGATGCATGAAGAATATTGCTTCTACAATAGTACACTTGATCAGTGGGCTCAAACTGGGGTAATTACTTCCAAGGGGTAATTTTACGTGAGGTAAATATAAGTACGAGCATTATGCCATCTATCTATCGACAAAGGAGATCAATAACAAAATCGTCTGTACCGGCACACGTAACAAATTACCTAACCGCTATTGATTACCCACCAGTGACTTATCTTAGTGAGTGGTCAGTAAATTAGAGAATTTTTGCTAGTAAATTTTACTACCTAAAGTACGAATATAAGTCTGCAAAGCAGGGCAGCTAAGTGGCGCCTCTATCAGCTCGCTCGTCGATCGTTGTTCTTTTGAGTTGTTCGCCGTGTCGCACTACAGATTTGAGTGAACACTAAATTAGGACCATAGATCAGCCGGCCAGGTAAAGTAGCGAGCGAATGTTCACAACGTAGAAGGGACAAAACAGGCGATCAATGTTCAGAACATATCGATACAGTGAAGGCGAACTGTTATCCAGAAAGGACTTGGAAGACACAGCTGCGACAAATGAGAAGCCACCTACATCTTTCCATATTTGACCGGCGATCACCCCCAAAGCAATGAATCGAATAAACTTGAAACACGACTTACTATGTGCATTATCCGAAACCGCATTAAATATGCCACAAATTGTTGGAAATAAGCAATATCAGTCGTTACATCACCACTTGATTTAATAAAATGTCGCCCAAAAATGTATGTTTACTTTCTTCGAAAGATAAGAAGTAATTAAAAATATTCCTTTTCCATAATTTAAGACAAAAAATGCAATGATTAATAGGTAAGCAGCCACTTAAAGTAAAATTTTTCGGGGTAATTGTTTATAGTGAACCAGCTTTGTGGGTAACAATCTCAAAAAAACTTGAGAACCAGTGCTGTGGATATGGACCATGGATGGAACGAAAAAAAGTGTAACCAGTAGGGAGAATATCTGAAGCTACAAAGTTTAAAGTCAAATCACAGAACATTGAAAGCAATTTGGTTTTACGGAATATCTCACCATTGTGCGCACTCCAAGAATTACCAGAGTAAAAAGAAATCAAGTTTATTGAAGTGCAAGAATCAGGCGTTATTATGTCGTTCACAACCAGGGGGGAAGAAGCAAACACAAAAACGCAACTGATCAGCCTGACAAAATTGCAATATATCTCGAGTAAGGCTTGCTAACGACAAAGATAGATAGGAACAATACCTCACAAACTCATCCTGATTGTGTCACCCAAAAAGCATCAAGAGCGAAAACCAGGAAACCAAAATCATCCACCAAATTGCACCCTATAAATGTGAGTGTTGGATTATCTTGCAACATAAAAAATTTGAGATGGTAGTACCCATCTCCGCTGACGACGTGGAAAACAAACCGTGTACATGCGTTCTAGTAAGTACAAATGTCCACAGGATTAAAGACAAAGGATCTCGATGCACGGCCGCTACGAGGCTATACTTTGAAATACTGATCTGATGGCAATAAGGCAAAATTGGGTGAAGTCAGCCCACACTTTCGACCCGCGTTGCAACGAAAGTGCCGGACCATTCCTGAGTGGTGTCTAACGCTCTCTTACAACTTCTGTTGCTTGCATCTCAGGTTGAGGGGGATGGTACGCTGTGGCGGATCTTCGCTGCAGCTACATTCGTTTACAGAGCCACTACACATTAGGGAAAGCGCTAGACGGCCGTTTAACCTCACTTGAATCAGTAATAATACATAGGCCGTTCGAGCTCTCAAGGATCGTCGACAGTGCAACTTGTCCTAAGCCATTTATGTTGCTGAGATACGGGTGATGATGGTTGACCGTCTTGAATGATTAGTAACATACGAAACTGCGCCGCCTATTTCATACTGCCATGCACGTTACCACCGTGCAGGCGAGGTTCGTCTCAGAAGCATGATCTCCTACCATAAGCCACCAATTATCTGAAGACATTAAAAGCCATTTCGGATAATTGCTGATAACGAATCTCTCCAGAGCACTCTTACTATCATCCCAAACACATCAGTCTCCTGGATGCTTCCTTAAGGGATCGTTTTAATTCCCGAGTCCTGTTACTTGCTTAATATTATGCCTGTTGAGGACGCAAAATACATGCACCGTTCCCTCCTTTCCGCTCACTCCAAGAATCGATTAGTGATACAGTGAGCACGTCCCACGCTAGAATATACCGGCCGACAGTAGGGTTATCAGAGTTTCAAGCGTGTAGACTGGAGAATGTGAAACTCAAATCCCCTTCCGCAAACTTGGAACTTTCCTGCATGTGTGGCGAATAGCCTACCAAGAATTAGAAACGAAGTCTATACCGCGACCACAATCTATTGCACAGGGAGAGTGGGCTATATTTGTCATGCACGAATATGAATATATATCAGCACTGTGTTTGTTCATCCACCATTGTGCCGTGCGACGTCAGATTTGGGTTATCGACGCGCGTAAGGCAGGTCAGTTTAGTGTCATTAAAGCTCACTCGCCTCATCACTCAGCCACAAAATGTTTCTCGATGTTGAAGACAACTAGCCAAAAGTGCCGCGATACCATGTATGCCCTATGGCGGATAATAAGCACCAAAAGAAAGTGATCTGCAATTCTCATTCCGCGTGATACACCAGCGTTTGGATATATTATGTACCACAATACAGGAGCTACTGGAATTGATCGAAATCAGCTTCGCTTACATTGGTACAATACTCCTGCATGGGATGCGTGAGTTTGTGACTGCGAGCTGTGCGGCCGTTGAAGAAGCACGTCTGACAGAGGTCAAAGTTGAGGCAGCGTAGGCAACGATACCTGGTGTGACAAAGGCAAAATGGAAATAGCCAGTTTAGAAACCTGAACCGCTCGATGCACAACGATGCCGTTACGATCAAATATCAAGTAATAACGTATAACATCGGCGGACAACCAAGGACTCCAAAATCTGAAGAGTCAGCGTGACAAACGATCTACATTTAATGCCAGTGTATTATCAGTCTAGGGATAACACATTTTGTCATCACTTATGGCTAAAGTAGCATTAAATATGGAAGCATGCGGCTGAAATGTCACGGCTATGTGGACTTAGATGACATTTACGCCAAGGAAGAGTACATCGGACAGCATAGCCTGATAGATTGTAGGTGTCCAAGTAGCTGATACGGTGTCCGCTCAAACTAGTGCCGGATGGGTATGGTTCCCATGCTTTGAAAAATCGCCAACACCAATTGCCACATGTGTTATCTCCTTCGATCAGAGTGAAACAGACACCTGGAAAATGTATATGCACAATGCCATTCGACAATTAAAAGCAGCGTTATTTCCAGACAGGAGTTCAGCGATGCTTGTGACAGGGATTATTATCATTCCACGAATGTACTATATTAGGTGATCCAGTCGAGAGATATCTAGCCCCTTGATATGTGGCTAGCGTGGGCTGTTTCATAAGGACAATGGAACTAATTGATCTGCTTAGATTGACGCCTAATAGGTTGTCCACCATTCGGCTGGAACAGCGCCGCGAATATTGTGATACAATAATGCACGATCGTGCCGCATTTAATAGTTGGTATTTTTATTGCGATGCAGTCGATGAAGCTGTGCTGATTCCGTTAATGCCGTAAATGGACTCGCAATCTTTCGGACAAACTCCATTTTTCTGTGTATACATTCTGGCGTTTGAGCTTATTCAGAGGTTTGAGATGCGCTCTTCAGACCACAGAAGCAGATTAGTCGCATCAACTCATCAAAACTCTAGTGAACGTTGCCGTGCAACTCCAAATGTAACTTGGACGCACCTCCCATTTAATATCGTGTTGGCATTCAGCATGCTAGTAGCACTTATGGTCAGCTATCCACGATATAAGTCTCTCTCGTCTTGGCCACAAGTTCCCTACACATAAGTCAAGACCGAGTTATACCTAAAACCCAATCTACGCTAATTGCTTCCATACGTATTGATAGCACCGAAGCACTCAATGGATAGAAAATATGTATGGAGGTTAGCAACTTGTAAACAGCGCTGCTAATTCGGTAGTCACACAGGATTCCCTTATCCCGTTAATACCACCGTGAATCACTCATGCCCTCCCACGTCAATCCGACTTTGCTCCTCCGTTCCATATGTTGACCATACCTAACCTGCTGTCAATGTAAACCACATATCTCAGCAAGCAACTTATCATAACATCGCTGACTCGAAATGATTTTGGGACCCAAACAGTACTGAGCCGCATACACTTTATGTTCACGTAAGCCCTATATGGTGTAAGCGCATTTAACGGAGCCATACACTATATGCGCTAGCATGGCAATGAGCACATATGGGTCCACCATCTTCCTGATTTCTCTCTTCCACGATTAACCTATCCACTTGTTCATCTCGGACGTGCTTCACTCGCACACCAACACAACCTACCAGGTGGGTCATCCGTGCCGCTTTTCCTGGCAAGTTGTAGATGAGAGAATTTTCAGAACCCTTAAGAATACTATGCAGAACTACTGTTTCTCCATCCAACCGCTTGGCTCTGCGTTACCGCCACCTTGAGGTGTTACAGCTGCGCCCCACATCAGCAGCCATAGAGAAGTCTTTTCACCTTACGGCTTTCGCCCACCGGGCTTTATCCACGTCGGAACTCGGAGCAGAGCCTACTGGCTTACGTAGATAGTGTGACATTGCCAACTTGCCAGTTCCCTCATTGTCAGTAACTGCACAAGCTGATAGAAAGATGGTGACCAAATACAGCTACCTCTGACGAAATTCCCAAATGACCAAGCATTTAGTATATAAACATATTTTCGGTGTTCACCTCGCCTCTTCGTCTCGATAATACGACCAATGCTAGAGTACGGCTCTCCCGCGTATTGTCCCATCACCCGGGGCGAGGTAGAAAAGCTTGAGCGAGTGCAGCATGTAGCCACCAGGCTGATTCCCAACTTACGAGGTATGCCATATGAAGACCGATGTAAGAAACTAGGGCTGTACACCCTAGCTTATCGTCGGCTGAGGGTTGACCTCATCATGACGCACCGGATATTACATCTGAGTGATTACCCCATGTTGAGACAACTGCTTCATCTGCGCACACCAAGCTGCACGCGAGGACACCGGTATAAACTTATCGTACCAGATTTGAAGCGCGTCGCTCACCAACTATGTTTCGAACGCAGAGTGGTGAATGTCAGGAACGACCTGTCGCAGCACACAGTAGAGGCGAACTCAGTGACGGAATTTAAGAAGCTCCTTGACAAACACTTTGCAGAGGCAAAATATAGAGAGCGGAACGAAACACAACAAGTATATGTCCAAGAGCGACGAATGGTGCAGCGACACAGAGAAAGCTCTACTCGCTGCTTAGAACCAGTATTCAGTATTCACGGAATAAATTGCCAGGTTCTTGTTCTAGTTTTATGTAGGTAGATGTATCATTGCCAGAATACTTGATTACTTGAAGAATTGATGCTCGCTGAGCCTGCGGTCAAAAGGTGGCATTCAAGCCTAATCAAGCCAGTCCTCATATAGTGTACATAAGTTTACTAGCTATCTCTAGCTCTGTAGCTCAGTGATAGCTTGTTATCGAATTTCCACATCGGCGAGGCTGTATCTCATTTCCGAGAAAAACGTCTACTAACTGGACGACTTAAGTTGCAATAGGACCTGATATGGGGAAATCCAGAAATACGTCGGTCTACTTGGACACATTGCGAAAACGACAGTACTGTCTCCCTGCACAGTATGTAGCCGTAAATGACGCTGCATCTATTTTGTCGTAAAAGCTAATCTCATTTATCTGTTTACATACGTATTGTTTTGCAGGGGAGTAGTGAGGAGGTTTAATTGGTATAAAAGGGCTCCGTTTCCGATGGAAGGTAAGGAGTAAGGACTTTCGGAAGAGATTTGTCACCAACGAGGTATATGTAGCTGACACAACTATGTGTCTTTTCTTCTTCACACACCACCAGTGCTTTGGTTAGACAGATAGACCCATGGATGACGCCTAAGTATCAAAAAACTGCTTATGCAAGCAAGGAGATTCCAAACATACCTTAGTCCGGTTAAAGGTTGGTGATGACAAACACCGCAGCGAACTTGGTGGACCACTTGTTCAGCGAGCATCACTCGGTGCAACAGCGGAAGCCACATCAAAGTTGGCTGTCCAAGACGAAGCCAGGTAATGAAATACCGAGCCGGTACACTTTGACCGCGGAATGGTGAGCCAGTTTCATAAGACTCTGCATCCCGAGCTATATCCAGCACCTGCAATATGATGATGGAAAATTAGTGCAATTCAGCCGCTCTTTCCTCTCGAGTCTCAGGAATCCACTCCACCTATATATATGTATATGTATATATATAATGGAGAAAAAAATTACTAAAATGTACAAGGGGAGAACAATGTCAATGTGTGCCTTGAGGTCATATTAAGCCGCTTCATCAACCTGACAGTGTTTAAATGTGTTGACCAAATTGAGATTTATATCGTACCACGACCGCCTTTTGGATCAGCGTTTTGAAGCCACGAAGGCAAGTAGTCAGTTAAACATATAGCAGTCGTCCCCCTAACATCAATGGATATAAACATGTTATAACCAAGCATCGGCCAGGATAGCGCCTGGAGCGGGTATTTAACAAGTGAAAGCAATTGACGTAATCTGTGGTTGGGAAATTGCCAATGAACACTGTGTGTGCCTATTTCTATCAGTACGTCAAGTAAGGGTATAAGCCGTAAAATATGTTTCCAAACGATACGTACACCGACAAGCCGGACCTGAAGGATGCAGGATAGAAAAGCATGTAACACATCACTATGAACCTTATCCATCAGAGCGCGTTTGCTGTCCTTTCGGTGACCTGGACCGCAGGGCGATCCGATGAAAACGGTGCTCTGTACGGCTGGCTAGTCCAACCTATTCTTTCATACCGTTTAAATATTTCATTGAGGAAGTAGAAGCAATATCAGTCTACAGTAGTGTGTCGTGTGTTGCTACAATTCGACAGCTCAAGGTGGGAACAGAGTGAATCTCATAGAACTTCCACTTTTCCACGCCTGCCCTCGACATCGATGGTGCCTTTGACTCGGTGAATTGATGTCACCTTTGGGACTGTCTGCTAAGAAATGGTGTGTCCGAGAAATAAGTAAATATTATCCGAGCGCCTTACGCGCAACTCAGGCAGACTGAGAGCTTATGACAAGCTGTCGCCGACCTACAATATCTCCGGCGGAGTAAGACAACGATGCTTGCTCTCATCCTTCCTCTTCAACTTCGCTATTGACGAAGTCATGGAAATCGCATTCACTGGACACGACTTAAAAGGTGCGAAACTGCTGTCAAATGGACGATTTCTTGACTTTGTGTACGCTGATGACAGCTCACAAACGTGTCAAGCAGCACTAGACAGATTAGAACTGGCTGTCAACCATTTCGGGCTTCGATTTGCATCCTCAATTTGCAAAGCAGGGACCGCCTCCTGCGCTGTCCCTTCATCATCATCATCATCATTATACATGTCAGCTAGAGATGGTAAAACACCTCCACTATTGTACCGCAATACATAAAGGAAATACATACATACATACAATACATAAAGGAAAAATAAATACGACAGTTGAATGCCAGCTGAGCTACCAGCAACGGATACGCATCGTTCCGGTAAGCTACCAGCCAGCTACTAGGCCAAAAGAAAAATTTAATTACGTTTTACCCTACGAAATAAGATCGTAGATGGAGGGGGAGGCTAAAGGGATGGGGAGGGACAAAGAAACTCACAGCAGGAACGCCATATCAGCAAGTGTATCCAGCCAAACGTGTTCACCGTCTTTTGGACCCCAACCAGGGAGCCGTGAAGCTCCAACTGAGGCCAGCTCCGAAGTGAGGGCCTTCATTCCTCTGGACCAAGTCATCGCTTGGCTACCTCTCCTCTTCTTCCACCCACATCCCCGGTGAGCAAACAACGCACGTCGAGGGAGTCGGTGGGCTGGCATGCGCAACACGTGGCCCAGACATCGGAGCCTGGTGAGTGAAATGACGGTGCTGAGCGGTTCATTCCCTTGGTGAAGATCAGCTAGATTCTCTCAGAAATTCAACCACGTAGGCAATTGTATCAGCGCCGGTAGAATCGAAGACGAGGTCACGAACCGCATAGCAAAAGCTCGAAGCGCTTTTGCTAAGATTCGCCACCTATGGTGGCATTGCGACATCTCTCTCTCTCTCTATCTCTCTCTGAAGCCTAGAGTTTACAGTGCAGTCGTACGTTCGACCCTAGTGTACGGTTGTGAAACCAGACCCATTAGACCGGTAGATGTTCGATCACCGGTGCCTGCGCAGTTTGGCTCATATCGGGTAGGAACACGGCGTGAGCAATGATCGTGTTCGACGCCTTGTTTATGGCACAGGAAGAGGAACTGAACCGCTCGACACCGTTATTTCACGAACCACATTCCGATGGTTGGGCATGTGTTGCGCACGCCAGAACACAGACTCCCGCGTCGTGCGTTGTTTGCGCGCCGGGGGTATGGATGGAAAAAGAGGAGCGTGGTCAAACGATGACTTGGTCAAGACGAAGGAAATCCCTCACTTCGAAGTTAGTGTCGGTTGGAGCCTCTTGGCACCCTTGGTGGGGACCGAAGGACCATGAACACGTTCGGTTGGATACACTTGTTGATTTGGCTAGGAGCGGGCCTCATTTGCGTTGTGTTTCTTTGCCCCTCCCCTTCACATTTAGCCTCCCCCTCAAACTTGGATCTCATTTTCCTCATGTAATATAACATTTTGTGTGGCACAATAGTCGGCTGCTAGCTCTCCGGAACAATATCCATCAATTATTATTGGTAGCTCAGCTAGCGTGCTTCCATTGCATGTTCCGTTTGTCTTTTCTCATGCATTAGGGCACAACAGCTGAAGCGTTTTTCACCTCTAGGTAGCATGTTTAATGGTGATGATGATCGCTGTGGCTTAACTAAGCAGGATTTTCAATGGAATTTAGAGAGCAAAGAACAAGTTATTGATGATAGTGACTATCGCTTCCATCTCAGCATGAATCCTCATCTGTAGGCTGAGTGGCTTCGAGGCTCTACGCACCTTTACTCTAACCATGGGCCCAGTCGGAATGGGATATATGACAGCCAAGCCCTCCCATAGAGCCGTTAAATGCTATATACTGTGCTGAAAGACGGCACCTTTTCAGGTAATACCGCCTTATAGTAACGAAGTGTTAAGGATGTCCTATCTTTCCCTACAATTCTGGTTAACTTAGGTTCGACTAGCCAGTGTAGAAGAACAAGTGTTGACTAGTCGTTAGGTAGCAACTAAAATAGCGTTTATGGTACCAAAGAACTTGGATGCCTCGTGTAAGCGGAACGCAAGCCATGCTCCCACACAATGACGGTCCAGACAGATGGACCTAAACGAGTGTCAGATGTAAATTCAACTAACGAACAACAGCAACGTTGGGGCAATTAACAGCTGGTGACCGGTTGTTTGCGAAGCCGTGTATCATGTTTTTGCCAGCATGGTTTCTCACACCGCTTTGATTTTCTGTCGTTCTGAAACGGCGTCGTGTCGTATAGAGAGAGGCTTTATCCATGTCCAGACAAATTGGTGTGGCATAAAAACGGATTAGAGCGCCTTACAAATAACAGCCTGTAGAAACAATACCATGTGAAAGCTGTTTGAACGAATAGGAAATGAACACCAATGGTACGAAAATAGTAGAGAGAGGATTCGACTCAAACAGTCCCTGTAGTATGCAGGGAACCGGCACCATTAACGGTGCAAAGCGCATGGAACCGCTGTGTGCATAAACTAGTGGGCTATCAATCTGTACAAGCACCGCTAGATAACCTAAACTGGTCTGTTAGGCGATCCGTACAGTCATGTGGAATGCGATTGTGAGTTCATCGAAGGATTGGACACCTGCGCCAGAAATGCTCGTAGGGAAGGTACACAAACGACGGGTCATCAGCCTTCATGGAATTGTCGGTGGGAACAGTTTCCGAACTTGCTTACCACTGTAGTAAACGCAGGAGACGCAGTACCGTCAGTGTCCCTCATTCACAACACTGTGAACATCATTGAAAACTCTCCGTGTCGCATGCGATCCCACTGTTCAGAATGAAAGAGGTTTACTTTAAAGTGAATTGTGGTCCAAATTGCGATTACAAGTCGCAATCTAAACAAGCGGTGGATATAGCCGAATATTCTAGCCAACGGCGAAGCGTGAGCAGCTCCGACGGTGTTGTCTACATACACATCTTTTTCAATGAAAGTCTTGCAGGTATGTGATCGTAGGATAGGCGGGTGGAAGTACCGGCACATGTTCACTCAACAGTTATCAGTCAGTGCCACTCCAATCTGCGCTGAGGCAGTCACAGATCAGCAGAATGCTAAATAAATGTAAACAGTGTAAATAATCGAAAAATTTTAATTTTCCATTCTGGGTCAGTGTTGAATCAGTGCTTTTGGCCACCCTTCCATGTTAGATTGGGAGTAAGAGGCACGCATATTGGACGGGTGTTGAATGAGGCGCGCGGAATCATTAGATGATCCACGCACCGTGCGCCATCAACAACAGTGAGGAACACCCCTATCGCTCGGAACCAGCACATAGGGTAGATACTGGATGAGTAAACAAGTAGCCAAAATCTGCATCAACGAATCTGATATATGCCAAACGGGGGGATTCGGGAGTGACGCAACCTAGTCAGTCAACCAAGTGCAGACAAATGATAAGGAAGAGGGGAGGTGTAAACAATTTTGACGTTGTCACCGGCAGCAGACTGCGGACCGTGGTCCAAAATATTTGTTTTCAGGGAAGAACACGCCTCAGACATGTGCAGTGTCGGGCAATCAACACATTTGTTTCCACGGGTTTGATAAACAAATCTGTGATGTCCTAAGTGATGACGCTTGGGGAAACTGACGCTAACATTAGCGCCTTAATTCAAGACGCAGGTGATTGCTATATTTTAATGAAAACAAGAGCTAGGTGCCTAGCTAGCATTGTTCTAACAGCTTGTGGTTATTGGCACAAAACCCCACGATAGCTGCCGCAAGTGGAAAGGCGAATGATGTGAAGGTGGAGGGGAGCTGGGGACAAGCAGCGCCGTGGACGAAATGCAACAGCGCATGCTGCACTAAACGTCTGGCATTCCAGCATTTTTTCAATCCACTACACACAACTACTTATTATGCGCGTATCTTGACTTTATGATACGGTCTGCTGCTTTACACGAGTTATAGAAAGTTACAGTTGACCTATCTCGGCACCTACTCTTTCGTGTTTTTAATTTGAGTGTCAGTTACTGAACATGCAGTGCTTTCGATGCTCTTTCTATAAGATTCGGAGTGATCTTGAATAAGTCACTCATACGTGTAGTCTGCATGCGTTAGAAAACGTGCAGACCACCAAGCAAAATCGCTTAAGGTCACGGAGTGTTTTAGTAGCAGCAGTAACTGATCCTCCGAACCGGCCAAACCAGAGCATCAACAAAGGGGACGTCAGAAACTCAAGTAACCTGAGGTCAAATGAATCTCAAGGTGAGGTGTTTGCAAATAGCATGGTAAGGCACCTGAAAAGTTTTATTCTGTTTTGGTCGAGCCGATAAAGCAGGGAACTACAAATGAGGCCTCCCAAATTTGTTGGATATGCTTCCGAAGTTACTATGAATACTGTGAACAGGTGTAGCACAAAGCCAAATGTCGAAATGCGATATAACAGATGATTTTAGGTAACTAACAATGATCGTCTTTCTCTTTGCTTGCAGAAGTAAGACAGCGTCTTTATATTGGCCGTTGCCGGTTTCCCTGAAACATCATTTTTACGCTGTCTACTGAGGTTATATCCATTTTGTGTGAATGTTTCTACGAGTTCTTCAGCTAGGCCGTTTCCAAAGTCGGTGAGGCCGTATCACTTCTCCGGCTCTTTGAAAATTGGTAAAGATACTGCGTACATTTCGCAATTCGCTACTTTCGGCAAAGTGAAACAAACTGTCAAGAGACTACGGTAAAATTTTACCGTGTCCACCCAGATGAAAACCTGATAATTCTCTCTAGAGACGCGCGATCGTTGTTCCAAGATGCGGGACTATTTGCTAAAGTGATATATGTGCACTCCTTTCCCATTTAGTTCATCTGCATCCGACGGGGTAAAATGTTGAAAACGTACCGATTTTAGTGCATAAAGCTTATCTTGACATTACTTGTAACTTTCGTTTGTTTATTGATAAGAGAAAGGAGATGCCCGTTGGATGATATCTTGTATCGGCCCCGGATACATGGGTTGGCTTGACGGGAACCCAATCGTACGAGAAACCATATTAATGAAGAGCACGAATTTTGTCCCGATGTTTTATTCCAGTATTCAGTACGTGGCACTCAGCTGTACGATGCTCGTACCCAAATAAACATCAAAGAAAATAACAACGGCTTAAAAACTTTGTATTGCGGAGTCAGGAAGTGGAGCAGTTAGGTGTTCAATTGATCAGTGAAGTGTTCTACATTGAGGAATCAATGGACGTGTGTCTTATCAGCTGTTAGCCGTTCACAGTAGCTGATATGAGTGTTCTCCTCTCAATCGGTAATGACGGGGACAGTGATGTACAACAGAACACACTGAGGCAGAATGATGAAACTGATAATTATGCAACACAAGAGACTGACACGAAGCTCGTTTCAACTGTCACGTATCCGACTGTAGCGGCGAAAAAAGCCGTGTACCGGTTTTATGCAATCGCGACCGATCTCTCCAAGCCGTTGTGTGGGTGCCACTCCAGAAACACACACACGTACATGCTCGTTTAGGAATAATGTAATTGCATGATGGTAACAGGGAATGCGGTTTGAAGGTCATGGATCAACGTTTCCAAATGCCAGACGATTGGTTTATCTTCAAAATTGGGAAAATAGGCGAGCAGCGGGAAATAGCGTGTCAAGCAGGGTATTGAAGATGGTGAAATCAGCAGGTAGCTAATGGAGGTCCAGACGAAACATTATACCGGCTTCAATATTTTGGAATAAACTTGGAACCGACGGTGAACTCATAGTTTCGAAGGTTTTTAGAGTAGGAACCGGTTTCTTTATAGGCTGTATTGCGGCTGCGTTCCGTTATTGACTAAATAGCCTTTTTAGGTCCGGTGAACTAGTACATCATTGGCTTGGGATTCATAAAAAATTGGGATGGAGGTTCTGGGAAATAACCCGAGTCAATGGATAATTCTGATTACAGTTCCAATGGGTCAAAGAGTATAATGTGCATGGAAAGATTCTGATTGATCCACGTCGCAGGTCATCCGCATGTAAGGAACTATTGTCCCTACTACCGTTGATTCTGGTGTTGAAAGTCGACTTTTCCGCTCAGACTGGTCGGGTTAAGACAGCCCGCCACGCGTTTGATAGATCCAGTCCGTCTAATTTGTTTACTCAGTTATTGGCCTTTTCGGTTTCTATCGCACAAGCAACTAATCGTTGACTTATTGTTCGTACTCCTTTTCTAATGACTTCTATATTGTCCCCGTTGATTTTGTGTCCCGAGTTTAGCGAGTGTACCGCTACCAGCGAATCTTTTAGTAATGCATTGTGTTCAGGCTGGTTTCTTGGTGGATGGAAAACATACCTCTTGTGTTCTGCCATCTTTGTGCGCAGTTCTCTCTATGTTTAGTATATGTATATGTGGGCGGTCTTAGCAACTAATTTTATCGACGCAATTGGTTGTTCTATATCACGAAAGTGAATCCTTCAAAGGCACCAATGCTGAACGGAGTGTTTGGGCTTTTTGGAAACTCTCTTTCTCTCACTGTTTAGCATCTGTGTGATAGCTACAGAAGTTCCCTCTTTATAAATAATCCCCATTATCTCAATTCATTCCGGCGTACGTCGTGAAGGTGGATTTATGGATCTCTGCAACTAACGTTTTCCTAACCGCCTCAAATATCCACTATCCACTAATTTCCTCGTTGCTTAGTTCGTGCCTCCTGACAGCTTCTAGTATGCAAGAGTCCGGGTCTTGTGCAACAGAGAGGACGCAATCGTAGCATAGACGTTTGACGAAAAGGTAGACAATTGCATCTGCCACAAACACCTCATTGATTCAGAGTCGCGCGTTAATGTATGGCATAGCCGAAAAGACAAATTTACTGGCCTTCTCACAAAATGACGCAACAGGAGCCAATATTACATGAGGTAAAACTTCGTGGTAAGCGGAGCGGTTGATAATCGCGTGATAACCGCTTAGGCTCGAGCATCTTCAGGCACGTACCCCAGTGTAGCAGACCTACAACACAACTTTGAAGGAGCCATGGTATGGTGTTGGTAGGTCGCGAACTCGGTCTGCGAAATGAACTAGTAAACTTGATGGTATCGATAATTCTAAAAGGGATGTACCAGACTTTTGGGGCCAATCGCTACCATTCGCGGTTCACTGCGGGACAGAGCACTTAGATGCTGGATTGGGATGGAAACATATAAAACGTGTACGGTGAGGATGAGTAATTGTTGTAAACTGTAAATTTACCTGTCCAAAGCAAGTCCTGACAGTATTTGCGAACTCATCCTTCCCGATCGAACCGCCTTCGCCAAGATTGCGGGGAATGAGGACACATTCGTAGAGCAGAGCGCCAAGTCTCTGCTCAGTCACGCATCCGTTTGTGTCCGCGATCAAACTGAACAAATCTGAAAGGAGATGCAGCGGAAGGATATCAGCTGCATAGTAACAGAAAAGAGTATGCACACTGAGATATACGGTTAACGTCACATGAAGTCCTAACGCATAACGTCTTAAAACGGGACATTCGTTAGATTTCGCCATACCTCCCACAACCCCATTTACACATCTGTCCATCACAAACCCGAGAGAGTAAGATGGAGGATTTGCGGATTGAAGCCGCGACTGATTAGCAGGCGGCCCATATTCTTTCAACACACATACCACAAGGAAAAATTTGAGGAAACACGCATGTTAATCGTACACAAGAAAATGACGTCGTTGTACGATGAAGTTGTTCTCTTTGAGCATAGCATTATCACGAAAATTGTCTTTCCTGTCTTGTTCAGCACTACTCGCCTGCCGACAGTAATCGCTAAAGCTCGCGATGGGCGTGGTCAAACCTGAGAATTAGCTCAGGACTGAAAGACACATATCAGTTATTCAAGTATGGTCCGACTGAAAAGGAAAGAGACTGCATGCATCTAGTTATTCCATGCGCTCGTGCTGGCACAGCGATGATCACAGGGCAGTGATCTGATCGGAACTGGTGGAAGTAAATCCTCGGTGAATGTTGTAGACGACGGATTTAAAATTGGTGACCATAGTGCAAAACTGCAAGTTAGTGAACGTTGGGGAATTCGCTGAAGCTCGAAAGCGGCATAGTCAACCAGTGTATAAAGTACACACGTAGAGGCCCGTTTCTCAAGTGGACCGTAGACATATGGGGCGGCGAATGAAACTAGCGGACGCGTTCTATCATGAGAAAACGAGAGTGTGAAACGTCCACAGTTTGGAGTGTGAGACGAGGAGGAGCACTTGGTGGGTAGTGATTCTCAGGTGTACGTGCGGTGGGGAATAGACATCGCCTAGTCTGAGTGTGAACAATCCGACAAGCAAGTACAAGGTGGACGAGATGTGTGTGCAAAATGAAGTATCCACTATTTCCGTGGTCCTCGCTAAGCTAGAGAAATTGATGTATTTTCTTAAGGTACACAAAAGGAACATAGACGCAAGTGAAAATATTTTCGTTGGATGGTTTATACGCTTGCGTTCACTGATGCGTTGCGTAAGATTAAATCCTTGAAAACAGCAGCGCCGTCCCTACCAGACAGTCAGCTAAACGGGACTACATCAGCACGAGCAATGCTAACAGGTACGAAATTATGGAGCAGTGAATATTATCCTACAGTTTTAAATCTTCAACCATGAGCTGAGTACAATTGTCTTGGATTGAAACCGATAGCCATTTGAAGGTCTCCGGAAACACTGGGCAAGAAGGTAAACAGAAGCTAGCCATTGATGTTGTAAACAGTTGGCAAAGTTCCGATGAAAAGCGTACGAACTGAAAACATGCTTTGACATCTAACATCAGGAACCGTGCAAAAGATGACCATTTATGAGGTACTCATATCATTCCTTTGGCGCACGGCCGGGTTGGGGAATGGCATCGATTGATTCCGCAACATTCTTGACGGTATTTGAGTGTGTCTAGCCAACGACACAATGTCTGTCTCATCTAGGTCCCTACTGGTCTTATAAGCCGCTGTTATTGATGTACGCCTGCAGTGACTTCTCACGAGACTGGAGATTGCTGGTGGATCAGTTTATTCGGACTTGATTAGCATCCATGAGAGATGAATTCCTACGCAGATTTAACTTCAAGGGGGGAAACCACCGATTATTCTTCAGACACTATAGTTTTGCCCATTAGGCGTCCAAATTGAACCAGTTCTGGGAACTACATGGTCAGCTGGGTCGTGAGGTTGGATCAGTAAGTTGCAACTGATCCGCTACTGAAATATAACGTGCTCTGGAGACCGAGACAGACCGCCGTTAGGCATTTTGCTATCGGCAGGGACTTATCCATAGTTGCAGAAAAAGTCCACACCATTTAACCATGTATACTACACAAATCATTCCTTATACAGATGAGTAATGAAAGTCCTGACGTCTGTATCACCCAAACACTTTCAGAGCCCGCCCTTGTTTGTACCCGGGGCAAGCAGAGTACATTTTGTGCGCGAAGTAAAAAGCTCTCAAGATTAAAGTCGACAACAAAACGGAGAGAAATGAGGATTTAGATAGGGCGTCGCTTCAGACTATCTCGTTCGTTATCCCTACTTCCACGGGACTCAATTTAAACCTAAACTACTAAAGCAAAGAGTTAATTTGTTACGATACAAATTTTATAAAAACAAAAGCGTTGTTATACTGAATGCATGATGGGGGCTCAAAATAAGAAACCTTCCATGAATCTGAATTGGTGACCGAAACTGCAAAGATCCTTAGTCCACTGACAAAACCGACGTGCCCTAAAGTGTAGAGCGTGTCATGCAATCCATCCACACAACGGTGTTCTAAGGTCCTTTTCATCCAGCTAGCCCATAACTGCCAACAAGGTCCAACGACGGAGTTATTAACAACGCCATATGTTGTAGCCATATTAGACAAGCATTACCGCTGCTGCAAAATAAGACACAGTGGATTTATGACACTGATTATGAACCGACCGGGATGAGGTTCAAGCAAAGCGAAAAAGTTAAGAAGATTCAATGAGGGGCGGGTCGAAAGTGACTAATGATTGAATATAGCAGATCCCAAATTCAAGTTGGGCATTCGATGTGCAAGGCATGTAGCAGTTGTTGGTGGCAAGCATATTATATAACGATATTCGAGATTGCCACCTCATTGAAAAAAGCGTTGTGTTCTTGTGATTAAGGGACCAACTACGTTACTACGCCATTCCGTTCCCGAGTAACTTATTGTCTAACGAGTTCAAGGAACTCGGTCTTAACATCGACCTGTAATTCATTTGTACTATGCAGAACCTCCCTTTGGTGAAACTTTGGTGCAAATTGTTTGGAATTGATGTTCTCTTTTATGGATGACAAGGTTCTGACAAGAGATAATCCAACGGTATATAAAGCTCATGTAAGTATGTGGGTGAAATTAAGAAGTAAGCGCCGCGTATGGATCTGTTAAGCGAAGAAAACTTATCGTTCGTCATACTAAACATCCGATTAGCACACCCTGTGGTCGTTGATCCCAAGAAAACTTGAACGCATCGCCTTTGGAAAAAGCCAGCCATACCTGTACAGTAAGGAGCACTGAGAATGTCCCTACTTCTGGTTGCGCTCGAGATATCTGATGCCCAGTCAAAGAAAAGCTCGATTCTAAATCAGAGTACTTGTCGTAATCCAGAACAATCACTCGACCGTTCGTAGTGTCAGTTGACCCAAAAAGCCCACACTGCGGTATAACCACTCCAGAATAAAAAGGAAATTTAATCGGGACCACCCAAACTGAGGAGCATATCTTTGGTATACATTAGTGTTGTGCTGAACATCTACATATTCCCTTGTTTGGTTTTCTCATATAAACAAAAGGCGGGTAAAAACTGAGATAAATCTAGTTTACTAATGAGTAGGAGGATTTCTCAATTGTAACTGCAATGTTTTCGACCCAGCTGCTCACAACCGACATAGTACAGTCTAGTCCGGAAAATCACCCGACGCTTTTCGTCCTATTGAGGCTCGTAAGTGGTGCGCATTCCTTCGGTCCCCCACTGAGGATCGAACCCATGACCGCTAGAGGCAAATGTCAACTAGCCAGCAGTTAAAGCCATCGCAATGAGGCCGGACCTTACCGTGGTGCGATGGTTTGCTTGCTTCAGTGATCCAATGACCTGTGTAGGGGGTACTTTTTTGCATTTCAGAGTTACTCATACCAGATTAGGCAATTGTAGTAGGCCAGACAAACTCAACCTCCTGGTCCCCTAGGTTAGGCGTTGGAATGAGGATGGCTCCTTATTCCTTAAAACGAACTCCTTGTAGCCAAATGCCAAATCCGCTGCCTTGAGGTGAGGTTTTTGAACCAAAGGCTTCGATTGAGAACTCTAATCGTTCTCCTGTCTAGGCATGGGCAACCTGACAGTATCCTGCACACACAATACTAGGAAACTTTCGTCAAACCAATTCCTGATGCTCTGGTCACCGCAGAGGACAATCAAGGGTGCCCTATCTGCTGTATCGAGCAGGGTGGGTAGGGGATTGGATGCTACTGCTCTAGCCTTCCCGTCTTCTTATTCCCCCACTTACGTTTTTCCTCACGGATGGTCCTGTTCCAACTTCACTTTTATCCCCCCAGTTTTCAACCCCCCGATTCTTGGCCCTCCCCCAACATGCTTTACTAGGCGTTTATCTTCTAGTTTCAACTCACATGCTAACGCGGAGCGTCACTCCTGTCCTGTCGACAAGCCCATGTCTAACCAAGCGGTCTACTCCAGTTCATCGGCTTCCATTTAGTGCCCTCCATCCTCCTTCAGATTGGCATGCCTCAATGTACGCACATTGCTTCAGATCAGTCTACAGGCAGCACTTGCCCGAACATTAGAGACCCTCTCGATCGACATCTGCTGCTTATCGGAGACCCGCCTGCAAGACTTGAGCTCTGCGCTCACTCTGCGATCCCCTTAAGGTGACACCACCAGTATTTTCTCAGTGTGCCTATCCGGTGACGACCCAGCTTCAAGCACCGTCCAAACTGTGGTTGGCATTGCCCTGAGTACGCAACATGAATCTGTTCTGGTTGATTGGATCCCAGGCAGTAGCCAGATGTGTGCGGTCCGATTGGCTGGCTCGTTCAAAGCTTCGAAGTCGCGCGGGACTAATAGATGTCTATTCATCATCGCTGCCTACGCGCCCACAAACTGGAGCGGTGGTTCGGTAAAAAACGACTTCTACCGCCAAATGACTCAGCCCCTTCGCCACAGAAGAAGCACAGACACTGTTGTGCCGGCGGGGGATCTGAACGCACAAGTTGGAAAGTTGTCTACTGATGATCTGCGTCTGGGCAGCAAACATGGTGTAGGCTCCCGTAATGATAACGGTGAGCAGCTACTTCATTTGTGTGAAGATTCCCGCTTATCTCTTGCGAGCATTAACTTCCGACACAGCACCCGCCGGAGGGTAACTTGGCGCCCATCAGCCTCGAACCAGACTTGGACGCAAATCAATCACATTGCATTCAATTACCGCTGGAGAGGCTGCATCCAGAACTGTCCCTCGATTTGGAGCACATGTATGGACATCGACCAAGTGCTGATATGCGGATGCGTTTTGGCGGACGTCCACGACGACGCTGTGAGCGCATTGACACCAGCCAACTGACAAAGCCAGCTGTTCTGAATGCCTATCAAAATATGCTGACATGTGAGTTGAGTAAGCGCTCACTGAAGACAATTAAAGCTCACTGGTCGCATCTTCACCAGACCTTACTAACAGCAGCCAAATCTTCATGTGGTAAGTCTAATAGCCAACATGGACATTGGGACTCTTCGCGGTCTCTTGAACATATCGATGCACGCCGGCATATTCCGGCTGGAAGCGAACACAATGAAACTCGCAAACAGCTCCGGACAAAACTCCGTGCTAGCCTGAAGACAGACCGTGAATTCTGGTGGTATCGCCGTGCGTCAGAGATGGAAGTGGCCGCTACCCTTGGTAACCATCGAAAGTTATTCCGTCTGATAGGGGAAATGGGCAGTAGGAGACCTGGTGTTAGTGAAACAATTTGTGACGAGAGTGGGCAGCCTATCCACAATTTGTCAAAAAGTTTGGAGCTTTGGGCTGAGCATTTTGAAAACCAACTTAACCGGCCGGAATTATTCAATTCCTCACCGGCCAGTAATCGCGCTGCTCTTTGGGCTGTCCATTTGGATCCGCCCTCTCACTCAAAAGTCAAACATGAGATCGGACTGTTGAAGTTGAACAAAGCTGCGGGACCAGATGATCATCATCCAGCCCTCTTCGAATTCGGAGGCTCTACTCTTATTGATGCTTCACATGAATTACTAGTGAAACTTGGAGCAGGAAACTGTCCCAACCGACTGGAGCCTCTCCGTTATTGTTCCCATGTTCAAAGGAGGCTCGCGTTCGAAATGCGGCAGCCATACAGAAATCAGTCTGATCTCCATCGCCTCCAAATTACTCGCCTCCATAATCCTTCACAGAATGACTGGCAATCGTGAAAGCCAGATTCGTGAGGAGCAAGCCGGGTTTCGTCGGGGTCGTGGCTGCGTTCACCACATCTTTACCTTGCGTCAGTTGTTGGAGCACCGTCACACAGGTTGGCGGCCCACCGTTGCCGTGTTCCTCGACATCAAAGATGCCTTCGATTCGGTTGATCGATGTGCCTTTTGGAACTGTCTGCTCAGGAAAGGTGTGCCCGAGAAATATGTAAATATTATCCGAGCATTATGCGCGCGTAGCACTGGCAGAGTGAGGGATTACGGCAAGCTGTCGCCGTCATTTAATATCTCCAGCGGTGTGAGACAAGGATGTCCGTCGTCACCTTTCCTCTTCAACTTCGCTATTGACGACGTCATGGAAATCGCGTTCACAGGACATGACGTATAAGGTGTGGATCTGCTCCCAGGAGAGCGACTTCTTGACTTGGAGTATGCTGACGACATTGCCCTAATCTGTGACAGCTACCAGACGTGCCAAGCGCACTGGACAGATAAGTGGTGGCTGTCCGTCACTTTAGGCTTTGCTTTGCATCCTCGAAGTATAAAGCGTTCCTCCAAAATTGGCAAGGATCGCCTCCTGCGCTGATCCGTGGTGGGGATCAGCTAGAAGTCGTACAAAAATTCAACTACCTGAGAAGTTGTAGCAGTGCCCTTGGGATGGAAGATGAGATCACGAACCGTATAGCAAAAGCTCGAGGCGATTTCGCTAATCTTCGTCACTTATGGCGCCGGTGCAACATTACCCTCTCCGTGAAGGGTAGAGTGTACAATGCAGCGGTACGTTCGACCATACTATACGATCGTGAAACCAGGTCCCTTAGATCAGCGGACATAAAGAGGCTAGTTACGTTCGACCACCGGTGCATTCGCAATTTGGCTCACATCTGGTGGGAACACCGCGTGACCAACGAGCGTGTTGGACGTCTTGTTGATGGCACAGGAAAAGGAAAAGAACCGGTCAACACCTTCATTGCACGTACCACGCTCCGATGGCTGGGCCACGTGTTGCGTATGCCAGCACGTTGACTCGCGCGATGTGAGTTGTTTGCGTGCTGGGGTGTGGAAGGAAGAAGGGGAAGGGTGGCCAAACGATGACCTGGTCAAGAGGAATGAAGGCCATCACTTCGGAGCTGGCGTCGGTTGGAATTTCACGGCTCCGTGCTTGGGGTCCAAAAGACGATGAACAAGTTTGGCTGGTACACTTGCTGACATGACTAGGAGTTGACCGCAATGGAGTTCCTGCTGTGTTTCTTTGTCCCTCCCCATCCCTTTTAGCCTCTCCCTCCAACCACGATCTCATTCCGTAGCATAATATAGTTTTACTTCATCGTTATTCTTATTGCCTGGTATCCGACTGCTAGCTTTCCGGAACGATGCCTATCCGTTGCTGGTAGCTCATCTGGCATGCAACTGTTGAATTTATTTACTTTTTCTATTACGTATTGCGGCGCAGTAGCTGAGGTGTTTTATACCTCTAGCTAACGTGCATAATGATGATGACGGATGATGAATGACAGTGGGTGCCAATAGAAGGAAGCTGGATATGACTCTGGAGGACCGTGGATGGCTAAATATTTATAACAAACCTGTTTCCGCATGCGCAAAACGGGCTTCAACAGGATCACCACAATATGGCATTCGACACAAATTATTTGAGATTAGCTGCATAGGTTTGCAGGACAGTGTTGGATCTATCAAATAAGTTGAGTTCACTGTGTGCCTAACAAACGGTCCGTATGTGAACTGTCTGTCGGCCTGTGTCCTTGCGAATGATGCGAATAGCTTAAGGGGAAAATGGTCAATTGGCAAATTGAGCAGGTCCCCTTACTGGTTAGTTTCTTTGTCGCCCAAAGCGCCGTAGCCTATTAGTCCGATCCATGAAATTGGATCCTTAGCTGCCCACACGATAATCAGCCGAGAGCCATGCACAGTGTTCATCTAAATATAAAAGCGAATAAAGGGTAGGCAGCACTGCCCCCGAGTGCTGTTGTCAGGCCCACGGTTGGAAGGAGTGCATTCCGACTAACCGAGACAATTAGAGATCCAATGACCAAGTGTGCAATTAGGAACGAGTTGTTCAGTCCCACAGTGGAGCCTATGCTTACTAGCTGATAGGAGGCTGTTACCTCGGTACACGAGGCAAAGTAGCGTGGAATACGTTTCCGTTCACTAATGGCACCGACAGCGAGCCAAAGGCGCAGTCTCGGTTCGGTACTGCAGCGATTCGAGGAGATACATGCATGCTACAAGCTAAAGTGACGATGCGGTGGATTTTGTGAGTCATTTCTGAAGTACACGTTGCGTGGATGGATTACGACACGCAATCTCAATGTTGATCGCGATTCCCATTAAAGTGAACCTTGATTTTTCGATCGCGAGGGCCGTGACTGAAGCAGATCGAAATTGGATGTTGCCTGTCCGAAAACATTGCACTCCTATGACGTGTTTCGAGGTTATTTCCTCTCATCAGCTAGAGATAGCAGGCATGGAACCCGGGACCGTGTGAAGATGTGGCAGTGTCCAGGGGCAGTGGCTTCAGCGTGAAAGGTGAAATCAGAGAACGCAAGCGGGAGGTTCGATACCTCCTAGTGCTTCGAGCGCTCTGGACTTTTGTTGGATAGGTAGCGCAAAGCAGCGACAAGTTGCTAAAAATGTTCATGCATCACTGTAAAACATCCAACGTATAGCACATGATACTTCCGAAGCGGTAGGTAGATGGGCTTTTTGCACTAGGCAGCATATAAACATGGATGATTACATGAGGAGTAGTAATGTCCTACATCGCATTTGACTGGTAGAGGATGTCACTGAATAGTAAGATTCGCGCATGGTAAAACTTACATCGATACTTTTCGTCCAAATTAGCCACCGACAAAATCGTCAGAGCTACCTTGAATGAAAGGGCACGTATGTTGCCTCTACGCATTCTGTGAGGACGAAAGAGGGGGAAGGGATTCCAGTAATGGTAGAAAGTTTGACTCAATTAACGCAAAAAGAGCACCAAGTAACTATCAGGCTTTGACGTCTAACTCCATTACGCAGAAGAATTTCGAATAAGTCATGCGCCCATAAGCGTTTGCCCTGCCTTGTTGTCCAAAAATGAATGTCGTAATCGCTTTTCTTGACCCAGTTCTCCCATTCCGGAGACGCGAAGAGGAAATCGACACGATGTTTCCTTACTCCAAAGCGATTCGGATGTGACTCCATACAGATGGACAGACACTGTGGTCGATATCGAGTCTATGGCTACTAACGAATGAATATTTAAACCGGTAAAGGGCAGTAAATTATGGTGTCACAAAGTGGAGGGTTGTCCGGTTTGTTTTCAGAGAATTGACAGGTGTGGTAAGAACCGTCAAAGTACCGAGGAAAAATAACACACACACACACACACACACACACACAAAATGCCCGACAGAAAAGGTGGAAAGGTGATCCGCCTCCGTTGGTGTCCGCCTATCTGACATTCCTACAGGTAGGAGCGGACTAAGTACTGTAAATGTGAGGTGGAAAATGTTAAATTCTATAGTGGTGGCATGGTCACCAAGGATGGCATCGAACTCACGAAAGAATGAAAGCCTTTCGGGCGCAGACACTGACACGTGTTCAAAGATACACAAATATAGGCGAATCGCTTGACTGAAAAAATCAAGTTCTGATTTGATGAACAGAACACCGTAACGTGGCCTAACTATGATATTATCCACCCTCACTATTAAGGCCGTTAACAAGTATCTTATTTGACAATAAGTGATCAATGTAGACTAATGATGTCCGAAATGATGGGCCAGTAAAGCAATAAAACATCTCCAATCGGATTGATAATACAAATGAGTGCATTACATGAAACTTCACAAATATTTCGAGGCTTTTAGTGACAGGGCAACGGGAAGTCTGTGTAACGTGGAAAAACCTGCATTGAATCACTGCTAGGCGAGGAACTAGATGAGGAACTACGTCGTTCCTCATTCGGTCCTCCTTTTATGTATGTGCAACAATGCACAGACATTGATGGTCAGCTCTCTTGTCGTGTAGTGACCGGGGTTCTGGTCCATACAGTAGTGATATTGGTCGCACCACAGCGTTGTAAAACCTGCTCTCAACCATTTAGCTTATATACTGCGGATTCCATAAGTGGTAGAGATTTTAAAAAGCGATAGCAACTCTAGAAATGTGTGCGGTAATCTCATCGGTGACAGCCGCCAGAGCCGGTACAGCTGTTTAAATAAGTCATTCGATATACCATTACGAGAAGTTTTGCCATGATCGTGAATACTGGTAGCTTGTTGACCCAATCCTGGAGCAACACGTTACACTTTGAATGTGCATATGCAAATATGTGAGGCGCTGCCCGTCATCCTATTGAATGGCACTTTTGTAGTACGTATGCCGATCCAGAGAGATATGTCATCCGCGTACTTAGTGTCTGAAAGTCAGTCGCCCAAATGCATCACTACCCTAGAAGAAACGAAAAAAGTAGAATGAAATCATTCGTGGTCATCTCGATCACAAAATGGGAGAGGTAGAAAAAGGTAGGGCAACCCTGCTTTACTGTGCTCGTCGTGGGGAACTCAGAACGAGTCTATAGGAGATCTTCATACGACTCCGGAAGTTGTGGGACCTACGTATTCTAATAGAGGGAACCTATAAGATACGCTCTTCAGTATGAGCCATCACCATAAACGGGTCCGGTCAACCGAATAAAAGTCAAGGAAGACCACCATGATTGACTCTTTGTAAGCTTGGTGCCGTTCGAGTAGGTGGTGATGATTTGAAATGCGACCAATGCACCCTGTTCTCGTGCTCGCCGAGCGCATCTACTGAGCTTCAAATGTTTGCTCACCGAACTGCTTGACATGATTAGCAGGCGAAAGGACGTGATGTTCCTTGTGAATTTTGGTTGTCGTATACGTTTCGGGTCTTACTAGGCCTTATCCTTCACGAATTGTCACTTATTTAAGCAATGGGGCAAATGTAGCCGATTGATATTCCAACATGGACGCAAACTTATCCGACCGTCTAGGCACACACTGCATCAGTGAAATCTTAAGTGTCACCCACGTCTCAATCGTATCCGTGCCAGTTTCATCAAACACTTAGTTCCACCGAGTAAACTAGTTAGAGATTATCACAACAGGGTCATTGTGCCCTCTAAAGTACGTCCGCGCGGCATCCATGTAAGACCCCGCAGTGTTCGGACTACGCCCCTGTCCGTCCAAAGATATGCTCCACGAGATTGGATTTATAGTGCTGTGAATTCGATAGTGTACAACACTACGTTCACCTTTGGTTTCGATCAGTAAAATTACTCTTCCTAAAAGAGGGTCTTCCTTGAATTCGTGACTCCGTTGCAGGCCAAGTCCTCCACCTCGCGTTATTGTTCACTGAATAGTTGCCTTCCTCGCCGTCCATCCATCGGTGATTAAGACTGGAAGTTACCGATCAGTCATTACTTGCGGAGAGAATCACGAAACTGCCTCTGTATTCGCCATAATACGGCAGCGTAGCAGCAAGTGATCACAACAATTTACGACTGGTATCGCTCGAAATGCATTCACAAAGGATAGCACCTGACACACACCGGTGATGAGGAAACATCTACAACATAATTACATTGGCCACTGCGTTGCGGCCAGTTATAAGGCAAACCCCCACCGATACAGCTCTCACGTAGCTAAACAGCTCATCGAGTTGGCTGCCATAAGTGTACACAGACAGTTAGACGACTGGGTTGGACAACAAAGTAATGATGTAAACCGGAGCCACTGGTACAGATCTTCTCCACTCATGTTTGCCCCTCTTGAGTCACCGATGAATCAGGCGGCCATCCTTCCTATCTATCAAGCCGGGACGCTGCAGCTCATAGCCACTATAAATTACATAGATTTCCATTTGATGACTATCTTACATCACATCAGGTTGGTGCACACGGTAGTCTGCTCATCTTGATGAGCAAGTGAGCCGATAAACGGTTTCCCCTGGTCTCATTCTGCGACGTGTTTCACACAAAGGCATACAGAGAATCGCCGGTATAGTAAAATCGAATTAACTCTGGGAACAATATCCAAGTACACATGAGTTGAATGCGCCCAGAATTTCCCTTGAAGAAACTGTAGTGAAGAGGCCAGAAACACCTTGGTTGCACTCCTCCATTCCATTTTACAACGTTTCAGCTACACGTATTACAGGTTGCGGCTTGCTCCGCTCTGGCTTTTCGTTTTTTTATCGTGCCATAAGCTTATTGAGATACGACTGAGTCACTTACGGCGGTCTGATCTATCAGTCGAAACTATTCACAGAAGCGATTTTACCTTTCAGCTGGGACTGCACAGGTGGACACGAGACCAACCGATACAGATGGCTAGAAGGGGTTAGGCTCATTTTGAATCCCTAGATGGATGGACCACGAACTCTTCATCTTGTACCAAATCTTCGCTTGTTTGATCACTTTAGTGTACAACACTCTGCGCACCAGCCTAGCCTCCACTGCACTGGTACTGCGATGTGGTCACATCGAGTCGAATTCAAATAAGTGTAAAGACAGTGGACGCAGCAAACAGGACCGAAAAATCCAGTGACCATCAAGACGCAGCTGCAAAAGGCTGTCGAGCGCAAGCGGTGGTATATAGCACCTAATAATCTGTCATCACGCTCCGCCGACATTATTCATGGTTCACTAGGTCAGGCCACTGTCTTGTAAGAGAAAATACGTGAATTCGGAACATGTGGGACGCAACAGATATGCGACTTGATGATGACAAAACCGCCTTCCAGAAGCTTTCCAGATATGTGATGAGGGGTTCCGGCGGAGTCCAGTTGCGACGAGCACTCTTAATACGCTTTACAGTTTTAATGCCACTTTCAAGAGTAAAATACACCGAGTGTCGATTGTGGTATGATGAGTGTAAAATGTTTAGTGAATAAGTGGTAGAAATTTAAACCATAACATATAGCTAGTGGGCAGAATGCTTCCATTCTACAAACCTACTTCCAACGAGTAAGTTCAACAAACACATCGTTAGATTCAACCTTTCACACAGGGCTAGTTGAAAGGAGCGTCATACCATAGGGACAAGTGATGGGCGATTTCCATACTGTATGACGGTTGCTCAAATTGGATGGATTGTAGGTCATTTATGTCCAATCATATGTCTACTCTCTGAGCATAGGATCAATTCGATGTACATGGAGTAACGCCAGGGATTTGGGGTTCCGTGATCTGTGGACGCGATGGCAAGTATATAATTATTCGTATTTCTGGAGGGTGGATTCGATTAGTGTTGCAGACGAAAACACACGCTTTGATGGCATACCAAATTGGAAACTCGAAAGCCAACTGTGGAATATGGTAGAACATTCATTAACACTACGATAACAATGGAGATCGAAGTGCTGATACCACAAGCCCACCTGTCGTACACATTCAGGAGCCAATTCAGAGTCAGATCCACACATACGTTCACCGAATACTTTGCTGGACTGATGAGGTAACGTCGTTTCGCGCGGGTGGATGAGCGTTTCCGTTTAACATTCGGCGCACCGTGTACCGGGCTGCCATGGCCTGGAGTCACACTTTCCGGCAAGCTGGTGCTTCGGTTCACCTGGCTTAGAGAGACTGGTGCCTGATTGGGGGCGAGTAATTTCTTGTTCGGGTCACCGCTTGTGGCTGTACTTCGCTGCTCCCTTGTGGACGATGAATGACGTCGGAACGCCCCACCACACTTGGTAGAGGTGCCTCGAGTCGGGCGTGACTCGCCAACCTGTTTCAGTGATGTGGGAAAATAGGAAGGAGGATGTTAGGCAATCTGAAAAATTCCAATAGTAGTATCGATCATGATGACTACCAGATGATCACAAGTCATCTAACTAATACGAAGTCCATTTCATTTAACCTTAATATCTAAAGTTCCACCCATGTAGTGGGAAGAATGTAATAATAATAATAATCGAAAATTGAGTTTACTGGATACCAAAAACAGACACGAAACATTTGTTGTTTTACTATTACAGAGAAAAGAAATTATCGGTGATCATAACAAGCGACCTTCTGGAGTTTATATGTGAACCTTTCCGTTGCAGCCATCTGTGAGATCAAATTGAGGAAACTAGATAGTCTCATCCCGGGGAGCACAACACCCACGTAGATGAGTGCCAAATTAGATCCTGTCATTGGAGATGACTTTAATTTAGTCAAAATTCAACTGTGGATCGGAGCTGTCTCAGTCCAGTGCTAACAAAATATATGACAACCACCCACTCAGAAAGCAATTCGATTAAAATCAATTTTACTCTGACAGACCAGGTGTCGGATTCCGAATTAAGTTCCTCAGGCACTTAATTTTCCCATAAGTATTAACCATGATTTTCGGAAAATAATACAGCAATCCTATACCTGGTCCATATCGTTGTCCGTCAGAGTCGAAAGACCAAAAACAAATGCGTCCACGGACTTAATCAACAGTCTCATGCGAATGCTTTACTGGAAGTGCTATAACATACAAGTAGGGAGGAGAGAAGGATTTATTTTTACGAGTTCAGCGCCCAGGAGAACGGCCTTCTCTTTTGCGTACTTGGACAGTTGTATTGGGTTTGCTGGGCCGTGTACCAAATGAGGAACAGAGCGATGACGCAAGAATTCCCATCACTCGAGTTGATAGATGAACGCTTGCTGACAGATATCGAACAAAATTTATGGGTGCTCCGTAGATTACGTGCATAGCTGATTACCTCCGGAGTAAAGGGGAAGTCGGACGGGCCGTGACTGACGCACTGCTCTCTGCTCAAACGATTGCGAGGCATTCTGCTACGCTATCCAGCGTCTTTAGCGACAACATTTCAGCGTGAATTTTGTACGGTTTATTATTCCAATCCCCTGCACAAACACACGAATGTCAGCTCATGACCTCGGAATGCACAATGTAAGCCCATGGTCGCCTCCTAAACACGGAACCTGGTAGCATACGGCGACAAAAGTCCCAAATGAAAATATTCGCAAAACCCCAAACAATTGACAGCTTCGTATGCCTGAGGATGTTGCAATGATCCGTCCCTTTGTGGGCTCGATTTCTCGGTACCACGAGAAATATGCCTTATTATTGTAACAAGGTAAATGTGTGTGGGTTCACTCGCCACCGTTATATGATATGATTCGCTGTGCCAGGTTTAGGCTGAATGCTTGCTATGTCTGAAAATAGCGAAGTAGACACAAATGTAACAATTTTAAAGCTGTGTTATTTGTCGTGTGTGTGTGTGTGTGTGTTAAGATCTAAGAGCTCCCTCGAGCGCGCACAATACTCGGCCACATTCACCTCCCCCCCTGTCATCCGCGATGACACAAACCACTTCTTATGGTGGACGGAAAATGTTTCAGTGTTTATTGGAGTGTCTTCAGACGATTTCGCGCAACCTCCCTCCCCGACAATTTTATCATCATCATTATCCACGTTAAATAGTGGAAAAAGGCTCTTCTATTGAAGTGTTCGTCCCTCGCCTGAATTAACGGTTGATTCTCTATCGAAACTCGAGGTCACTTGGCACCCCACAGGACGGAGAGAAGACAGGATTGGACGAGCAGAGGAACAGGAATGTATTAGCCAACTACACCGTTCATTATAAAGGTAAAATCGAAAGTTCGTGAATGGTACTCAAAGCTCACGTTGAAAACTCTGGAAGTGTCAAATTACGGCCAATCAAAGAATGCCACCCTCGTGTAAATTGGCCGCTTCACCCGGTTGGCTATCTGTTCACACCAATCAGTGCGGGTGAGTTTGGATCGCCTGCCACGCCTTGGCCCCGTAACGACAATGGGAGCTTCGGTTGTTCGCTTAGTGTGTTCCTTCCTAACAGCTATTGTACCGCAATACATAAGAGAATAAATAGAAAATGCAACAGAAACACATACTTATACCGCTAGCGCAGGGATGAATCAACCGACCATGGTGAGTCAACAGTCGTTGGTCCCCGATGTGACTGTGTAATGTGTAGGAGGGATTCACCTCACACACGCCACAGTAAACAAAGTGCATGCATTGCGAAACTCTAAACATCCAACGCAAGTGAATTATGATCACTCATAAAACATCAATCGCAGTGAAGAACCCATTTCGGATAAATCACTTTATTGTAGGTCACGAGAACTCACGGTTGGGGGTTTCGCATTGTGCGGTAGGGTGGAACATTTACCCATAGCGCCGGTCTTTAATGAGGATTGGGCTGAAGTCAGGGGATCTGTTCCGTTTGAAACAGTTACATGTGTGGGGGAGTTGATGAGGGTTTTGTCCCGAGAACCATACGATGCATGAGACCGGGTAAAGAGTTGTGAAAGGCACGCAATCATTTGGGGCACATCGATTGTTCGGTCAAAGGGGTCGTTATGTGACGCATCCACAGGCTGTGAGTGTCCAATATGTTTCAGATTTTCAGCCAAAATAGAGATGCTGAGTGTGTCCACTGTGGGGTAGATAAAATGTGAAAAGTCAATCATTGGCCTTGCAGCAGTGACAGTCATGACAGAAACTTAGGTAACGCACACCCGTAGGAACAACGGGTAACAGAATGGAGTGACAGCATGACAACAAGATGCAGACAAACATCATCGAAACGCCTGGGTAAATATTGGGCGACCGAAAAGTGTCGACGACCAGGAAAGTCGAATAACAAACCACGGTATCCAGCGATTCACCTTGCGCTGTGGTGTACGTTCCAGTCGGGTGGGAGAAACGGGTGGCCCTCGGGGCTGACAACCCATGAGGGCAGAAACTATTCTGGGCAACAGATGATGGTATAAAGTGCACTAATGTCAGCCCCAACCAGAACGCCACTAAGCACCCCGAAGGCGTGCTGGGTAACCAGCTCACCTTTTGCATAGTCCATGTAGGATGTGATAGAATCTGTATCGAGATAGAAGTGGTAACTTGGTGCTCTCAATAAACAACATAGACTTTATACGGATTAAGAAGCACTGCTATACAAGTCCCGATGCGTGGTCTGGTAGGCTATCGAAAGACGTTAGTGAAACAATGCAGTTAGTACTCTTACTGCCAAGAGAATGAACTTATTATTTGTAATGCCGTAGTCATGCACTCCGCGTAATTTCACAGCCCCAATAGGTGCACCATGAATAGTCCGCTAATCGCTAGTACTGCACCATTCGATAGAGCAACGGACCAATCACGTAGCCAAAGCAGACATCATCGCGATCGCCTACACACTAACCACCAATAGATACCACTTATCTATCCAATGCCTTTACTTTGGGCTGGATGGTATGGCTACTGCTTTCGGCTTAGAGTGCACAAGTGTTACGCTACCTACAGGGCTAGTAACAAGGATGCCGTAGTCGTATTTCGGCGTTAGCCCACTCGGCAGAGTGCCGCGCAAAACGCACCTCTCCTACCCAAAGCGGCCACCTGTCAACCCTTATTTCAGTGGCAAGTTGCCCAGACCCTTTGTGTCGTTTTACTCACAAGCACGTCATAACACTTTGACACCACATGTCCCGATCATTCGCAGACATGTACGCGTGACTGTCTTGCAATCCGGACACAGTGCAGTCGTATGCCCCTTTAAAGCACAAGGGTTACAGGTCTTCCTAACCATAGTGGACTCAAACGCAATGCCAAGCTAGCCATAAGATCGCTAGTGGGGTGTCGCATTGCCACCACTGGTGCCGTGCGCAAAGCATGCCTTTAGGTACATGATAGTCCACTACCGCCCACACAAACCTCCACTCAGTCGCACCACGGGCTTGGACAACATTGTGCCCCTAACCCGGGTGGAACTAGCTTCAGAGTAGGCAAACAGAGCAGTGATCTTGGCGTGCTGAAGTCACCTAAATGTAGAACGCGGTAGGTCATGATGAGGTCGACTCGCAGCCGACGATAGGACAGTGTGTACAGTCCCACTGTTTCGCACCTCTCTTCGTATGGCAAACCCCGTAAAGTGGGGATGAGTTTGGTAATGACGTGTCGGACCTATTCGGTCTTTTGCGCCTCGAGTAATCGAGCAGTAAGCGGGCGAGCTACATTCTATCCATGATCATATACTGGAGGAGAAAAGGCAAGTGGCAGTCTCCAGACCAAGTGCAGTAGTTGCACCCACAGCATGCACAGTCCGTTTCGATGCAGCTTGTTCATGGTGTGAATGAACTTCCAATCACAGTGTGAGAGCACGCCTATGTCCTTCACGGAAGATTTGGGATATAACGGTTGGCCTTTAAGGACTGAGGTTCGACAGTCACCATTCTTCTTCCCCAGCATTATGAATACCGGTTTGGCTGGGTTGAACGACAGGCAGTCTTTTACAGACCACGTGGAGAGGTGGTCGAGGTTTTACTAGGATAGGCCTCAGTCGTAGAGAATGCTAATCATTCTTCACATCGTCAGATTGTCCGCAAACGGGACACAAGGCGACCGGAGAAGCTGAGATAGATGACTGATGTAGACCACGGACGAAATAGGCTCCAGCACCGTGCCTTGGAGTACACCACTGATCGAGGGATACCAGTCAGCCAGATAGCGTTCGACCTATACCCTCTACTTCCGTCCAGGAAAAAACTCGCGGATCCGCTGATGCGGTGAGCTACCAACACTGCATACGCTCGGCTTGTATTTTCATTTATCGAAAGCTTTTCTGAAATCCATACAGACCACGTCGACAGAGTTTCCCAGGTGCACTGCTTGCACCATTCATGCCTCATCACCAGAAAGTTGGTAATGCGTGAACGATCCGGCATGAAATTGTGCTGTGGGGATGTCAGCAGACCTAGGGACCGAAACAGCTGTAATAGACCTTTCGCGACCTCCTCGACCGGTAGTAGTCAACTTTGTTGGGGTTACCGCCTATGAGAATGGGCTTTACCACCGAGCGTTTCCAATCGCTCGGTAATGAGTCTTCGGACAGTGACCTGTTTGACAAGTCAGTCAAGGTACAAGTCGATAGCCATCTGACTGGCTAATATCTTTGGACTGGTGGCGTACTCCAAGGCACATTGCTGGGACCTACACTATTCTGATTTATATCAACAATTCAACCCAGCTGTTTCGGACACTGTGTGTCCTGTTTGCAGACGATCTGAAGATGGGAAGAGTGATAAGCACCTCGGACGACTGTGGCCTACTTCAGCGAGACATCAACCGCCTCTCCCTGTGAGCTGTAGAAGTCTGACTCCCGGTCAATCCATCCAAGTCGGCATTCATGACCATGGGGAAGGTTAATGACAGCAGAAGCTAAACCCTTGACGGTCAAATGCTACACCCCACACCTTCCTTGAAGAACATAGGCACACTATCACACTGTGATTTGAAGTCCGTGGACAACACGCACAAACTACACCGAAATGGACTGCGCATGCACTGGGTGCTCAAACGCAACTTCTGCATCTGGTCTGAAGAGGCTGGCACTTGTATCTTCATAATAATAATAATAATAATAATAATAATAATTCAGTACGGCTTTCTTCCTTACTGCTCGGTCACTCGATGCGAGAGGCAAAAGACCGAATAGGTCCGACACGTCATTACCAAGTTCATTCCCAATTCACGGGGTCTGCCATAAGAAGAGAGGTGCGGAAGATTGAGACTGTGCACATTGTCCTGTCGTCGGCTGCGAGTCGACCTCATCATGACCTAACGCCTTCTACATCTAGGTGAACTTCCCATGCTGAGGCCACTGCTCTCCTTGCGAACACCCCGCAGCAGGCACGGACACCAGTAGAACTTTTTGGTTCCAGATTCTAATACGTGTAGCCCATCCTCTGTGCTTTGGACGGCGAGTGCTGAGTGTCTGGAACGGTTTGCCGGTGCGTCGAATAGAGTCGATTTCAGTGTAGCAGTTCAAAAT